AGAGAGAGAGAGAGAGAGAGAGAGAGAATATTGTAAACTATTAAAATTAGTGCATTTAACAATGTTATTTAATAATGATATGTTTTCCTAAATTGATCAATAGACAATGCAGTCTCAATCAAAATTCTCATACTACCTTAAGCAAATTGTTGTTAACACCTACATAAAATGCAAAAAGACAGACTATCCAAGGAAATTTTGGAGGCAAACAGATATTATCCTTTTTTTCAAGATTTCTAATGTTAAGATTAAATATTAAGATTTTTTGGTATTGGTTAAGAAAATAGAAATATGCTAATGAAACTTACTAGAGATTCTGGCAACAAAAAGCACACAGAGTCACCAGATTTTTGCAAAGAAGGGGTAAAATTATGGTGTGTGATCAACTGCATTTCTACATTAAATTAACAATTTGGTTTTAACTGCATGCACTTCATTAAATTAATTTAAAATAATATTTACTTTATGTAAGTTGGAAAAAATAAAGCTCTTGAAAGATATTGGAGAATGTTTTCACAGACTTTGTATAGGCAATGATTTCTTAAATATGATACCAGTTACTTTAAACTTAAAAGAAAATATGGGCCATCAAGGAAATGCAAGTCAGAACCACAGAGATGACACATCATTCTAGTTACAATGGTTATTGTAAACATAAAAATAATAAATGTTGATGATCATGTGGGAAAAAAAAGAATTCTTATTCACTTTTGATGGGAATGTAAATTAGAACTCTATAGAGAAAAATATGGTGGTTCTTCCAAAAAATAATATACAGATGCCATATAATGCAGTTATTCCACTGCTGGCATCTATCTATCCAAAGGAAATGAAATCAGCATACAAAAGTGATACCTGCTAGCCATTCTGATTGAGGTACTGTTCACAATATCTAAGATATGAAATCAGGGAGGTCCCCCATCAATACCTGAATGAATAAAGAAAATTTGGCATATATTTACAATTGAGTATTATTCAGCCATGAAGAAGAATAGAATCATGT